AAACCAATATGTTCTTGTTAATGTCAATTTTATTTTACAGGAAACATTTGAAAATATTTAGGAACATTATTGAAAGATGAACAATCCCACCTAATCTCTTTTGATATAGGTATATGACTCAAGCTATTAATAAATGGAATTCAAAAACTTTGGAATATACAAGAGATAAAAATTCTTTTTCACTTAAAAATTCTAAATATCTCTTTGCAAAGGGAAGATGTTCTGGAAACATGTTGGGGTGTTTTGTCATTGTTTTGAGAAACTTCCTCGTTGAATTGACGGCATGGTTGTGTAACCTGGTTTTGATATCAATCAGCCCCTCACTGCTGATAAGGCATTTATCAGTATTCCAGCCGTTAAGGACGTTTCCATAACGAGAAAATAATCTTAATTCCTGTGTAAGCACTTCTTAAGTTAGGGCATTATCTACACCGTTTTCATATGTGTAGAAATCTATATCAGAAGGCTTATCACAATGGGGACAATCTGTTGATTTTGTTCATCGTTTATCTTAGCCTGTGTTAGAATTGTTTGGGCTGATCATGTGCATTATCAACTCTTGAAAGTTATCTCCGAAAAATTGTATTGTATAAATTTTGATTTCATCCCCCCCCCCCCCAAAATGTGATTTATTGATAAATCACAAATGTAATACAGACTTGTACAAGTTTTAATGTATTCCAGGGTAATATTGAAAATAGAATTGGTTAGTCACTCAGAATAACAAGCATAAACAACAATGTGTATTGTAAGAGGCGACTGATGGGAAGGGGTGGTCACCGACTTAGTTGATGTTTTGAGATTGTTGATCATGATGCCAATCACTGGATTGTCTGGTCCAGACTCAATTATCTACAGATCGCCGTCATATAGCTGGAATATTGCTGAGTGTGGCAATAAGTATCAAACAAAGTAAGTTTTATTCACGAAACCTTTTTCTTCAGCAATATGATGATGGTGTACACCAAATAAGGTGTTTTCCCCCAGAATCCCACTTCGGCACCTAACCCTTTTACATAACAACTGACTGTCAGATGACCTCTCTTCTACTAGAACAATAGGTTTGGAACTTTATGTTTACTTAATTAATCAAAATAACATTAAAAGCCCTTACAATGGCTCTAAATGAGGATCGATCTGACTACTTGCTCATGCTATAAACTGCTTTGTCTGCGTTCTGACTGAATTATTTACAGGCTGCCGTGATGAAGCTGTAATATTGCTGACGAAAAAACTACAATCACTCACTCACAGAAATACATCAAATAATCCTACAAATTAAATCCATTGATCCACTCTGCATGCACTTCATGTATATTTATTCTGAGGGAATCTCGGTATCGCGTTTCCCGGGAGAGGATTGATGTCTTCCATGCAGACATCCCCTTTCCTCGGGTTTTGTCAATTAACACAAATTACTTGAATACTATTTAGTTGGAAAGAATAAAAGTTGATCCGGAGACACGTGATAATGCCCACTGTATCAATACAGACTCTACAACCTTAAAGATTCTGACTGGTGTGAGCAAACTGTCCTTACAATCAAAAGGTTTGCGGGATCCGTCTCAACCAGGCCGTACCAGAGCTGGTATTCTTGTTACTCAAAATGAGCTTATGTTTAGATGGGTTAAAGTTGTTCACACAGATCTTGGTGTAAATGAAACATTTTTATCTTGATGTAAATAAATCGTCCTTGAAGAGCCTTGTAAGACCCAAGGATCTGATTAGAAGGGTAGGGTTTCATTATATTTTGATAACCACAGGAGCAGGTTGTCAGCTTTCGGCTTGTATATGCACAGGTGAATACCTGTCGGACACTCGTTATCTGTCAATCTCAGTCATCATTCACCTGACACGTCAGTTTCATGTCAATTTCATTGTCATCGAAGGTCATCGGCTACTGGACTTTCATGGTCGTTATGTGACTTCCCTGATCGGGTTGAGTGGAGGTGTTGATTTCTGTCATAAATATGTACATATCTTATCTGGGACTTGAACACTTTGACACATTGGTATGGTAAATGTTTCCTTATGGCTCTTCTTGTCTTTCTCTCATGTGTTCATATTCTTATGGTATCTTTTCATTACTCTTTCGTCTTACTTTCATTGACAATCTGGGGGCATGGGTGGCCCTGTCGTCTGAGGCTCCGCGATTCGCTGTGCAGAGTTGCGTCCCTTGGGCACGCCAGAAACCTTGTGGGTTCGAATCACGGTTCTCCCCAATTATGTTTCTAGGTTTGTCAGCTCGTGGGTTTTACCGAAGTGGTCAACATCTGAGACCTGCATCACTTTGTGCTTTCCTCCCACATTAAGCTGACACGCTGATATAACTGGAATACTGTTAAAAGCAGCGTTAAACCCAACTCACTCACTCACTCCTTAGAATATGAATGTACATCTTTCCTAGCAGAACATTAATATCATGAAGTTATGCATCGGGTTAAACTGATAACGTCAGACGCACATTTCCTGCAAGGGGAAATGTCATGTCCCTTCAAGTGATTGTACAGTGTTATCGCTATCTGTCCATCAATAGCTGGTGTGTATTGCTATCTGTCCATCAATAGCTGGTGTGTATTCCAGATGCTGGTTGATACAGTGTCAATTATGAGAATGAATTATTGATAGAACTTTGTGTGACTTTGAACCAAAGGAATATGTAAGTACTCTTCAATGTGGGTGTTGATGGAACAATCATGTCATGATAACTGTCTGTCAACATTTGTGCTCAGGAGAGTACTATGAATGAAATATTCATGATCTGGCATTTTGTATTCTACGAAATTCACAACACATTGTGGTCTTGTTTATATGAATATAAATGAGATGTGATACATCACAATATGGAAATCAACACCATTTTATTAGCACAAGAACTGTTAGAAATCAATTATGCTGACTAATTTAGTTTTGTTATTAAATTCTATGTTCGTTGTCGATGTTACTTAGTGTAATCTACAAGTTAATAAGATGAGACTTTTTTTTACAAAACTTGTTAAATATACTTCTTTGCCTTGAATAATGTCATGCTTTGATTAGTATTTACATATATTTTGTTTATTTTGGCGCAGATGTAAAAATAACATCATGTTTAGGCCTTCTGTTTTTTATTAGTGGCAAGATACCAATAGAGACTCGATTGTTTCTTCAGTTAGAATAAATTTCTTCAGATGTATAATTCGCCATAAACACTGATGATAAAATCTTGAAGTCCTATTTTTCACCTAAGAGTAAAACCAAGTCAGCAGAAATTGTTTTTGTCGAAAGTCAATTTATTTTTATTCTAATTTCAGGCTTTTTGGTTGGTATGTCTTGTTAACCAACTAAAACATAGTATATGGCTTGTAGTACAAGACAGTGTCTTAATTTGACATGTATATATGAATATCATTTTCATTTTAGACTTTTGGGTTGTACACTAATTCCAAGCTGATCTTAGATGATAGTATAACAAGTTTTACTCTTGAATTTGTACATTGCGAATTTCCCAATATCAGGATTGTGGTAAATAGATGATTTTTGGCCTTCAAAAAAGATACTGTTTTGCCCATATTTAACCAGATGTATTACCAGGTAAATCAATTTCTGCGCGACTTTCATTATTGATAAAAAGAGATCAATTATTCAATGATACCCATCATGAATAATGATGAATTAATAAAGAAACAAGATGTATCTTGGCATCATCTTCTGTCATCTTGTTAGAGTATGGTGAAGTCCTGAGTTGATGCAGTAAATGTATGAATATGATGATAAGTTAATTGAAATATACAACTTCTCAAAAGTAGTCAGAGTCAAAATTTGTGGGATTAGACATGTCAGTCTTGTTAGTAAATAAAAATACAATTGTTGAGTAAAGGTCATAAGATTATTTATATTTTTAATGTTTCGGTTGCATTGGGACAAACAAATTTTGTTTTGTGTTGGCCTCACAAGAATACTTGCTCCTCAAAACCAGACATAGATCTTCCTCAGTTTGATCTTAACTGGGGCCATGACAGCTACCCTGGCTTAACCCACATGGGCATAGCTATGTTGAATTCTTTATCAGAACACAGTGATCAGCAGATAACCTTTTAATTATCTGTGTGTAGATAGCACAGGAGCAGGTTCCTGCTCTGTTTCGCTGACAAGCATAACTATCACCAGTCTCCTTTTGAGACCATTTTGTTGAAGTTGCGTGAAAAGATGTGAACCGATAGGAGCTCAGCATCTTCTAGATCAGGTAGGCTCAGTGTAAGGGGTCTTTGTTTGATGGGCAGTCAGCTGTAAAATAAACTATTAGGTCACAACGTAACCCTTTCCTGAAGAGGGATACGGCCCTAATAGTGTGAAATTGTGTCCCCTTTGTGTTGGGGAAGGAGTATGGGAGAGGGAGCATGGTGATAAGTGCATCGTTAATGTTAGCAGGGGTCATGTGACACTGACCACTATCGACTAGATCTGCCCTGGTGGCGTTGGTCATTCAAGGATTGGTCCTCGCTGACTTAGCTTCGATCTGAGGATCTTAGCTGTGGTTTGGGATAGTCTCTATTGCTGTCAAGGATAAACAGATGGATTTGTTGAGTGTGGGAAGGATTTCTTTGATTCTTACAGTGTTAATGCTCAATTCACTCAAAACCTTGACCTGAAATAATTATTCCCAAGTCTAACATGTGGCAATGCATTTGAAAGGCAATTTTAGTCTGGTTCATATGATTTGTCACACATGTTGATAATTTTCTCTGTTTTTTTTTCATCCAAATTTGTCACCCACCATATGGTACATTGTTTGAAAGAGAATTTTGAATCCTTTTAAAAGAAATATTGTCACACTGGTTGTTTTTTAAAACGTTTGTACCTAATTTTAAAAAAAACAGATTAAGGTTATGGTGTAGGGACTGTGAAAGCATTTGTGTGGAGCAGACGGCAGGTGGTAGAGCAAAGTGGAGGGCTCGTGTTACGACCACCTGGTCCGGGATGATAGCCATGGTTCACAGGAATGTTTTTGTCATACACAGGTAGCACAGGCTTGGATGTACTTGCGGAGTGATGGATTTTACTGAGCGTGTGCAGCCAACATGTAGAGTGCTCATGACTGATGACTTGTGAGAAGTAATGGACTTTACTTCTGTTGAAAATCAGGTAGGTAAATTACCTTTTGGTGTGTGTACGTCTCATCAGATTTAGGAGTTATTTAAATGCGGTCAAGAATGTGATAGCTTTGGGGCAGTTTTTCACCATGCAGCATGAATGGACCATGTCTGCTCTTGGCCCTAAAGCAATAATATGCTTGAGTCAAGTCTGTATGTGGATGCAAGTCTTTAGCCCAGTGAGGTGTTGATGTGACCTCAGTGTTTGCAAGAGTTTTGTGGAGTGTTACCAAATATCTTTTGATGTCACGTCTCTTTTTCTACATGTTCATGTGTTTCACAACTTGGTACTTATATGTTTGATCGCTACATGGCTGTACTATTGAGAAGCTGTGTCAAACTTTGGGCTCACTGTTGTCATTGCCTGTAAATCAACATTACTAATTTATATACCTTAAAATTCATTTTCTTGTTTAGGTTTGTTTGAAATCGTCCTGAAATAGTGGAATGATAAATATTGAAATATCGTCAGTATGAGAAAATATTTTGAATCCCAAAAAGCATTTTTCTGTAACAACAATTACGACAAGTATATTTTCACTACAATATCATGAAGTAGTGGAGCTGTATCAAAAAAATATTTTGAAAATCATTTTCAAAATAGACATCAGTTTAAAATGCAGTGGTTGTCAAGACCATTCGTATTCAAGTTTACAATTATCAACAAAAGCATCTTTTTAAACAGCCAACATAAACTCAGATAATGTTTCAAATGAAAGGATTTTATGTGGGATAAGTGAACAGAATAGAATATAAATTTACAGTCTGCTGGTTCTGTATAGAGTGTCTCTATCCCTCATCCTGTATATGTATTAGAGATAATTAGTGGCAAGCAGTGTCTGCTTTGTATGCAGGTAGTACTTGGCGTTGCTAGACTGGTTTTTACTTACGTTTGTATATATGCAGAGCCTGGATTATTGGGGAGGCTTCGGGAGTTAGTATCGGGTGAATTGACTTCCCAGCTGAGGTTGGTACTGGTTTTGTTGTTAAAAAATGGTGGAATGTTAACTCATTCCCTTTGAAAAAGTGAGGATGTTTGTCTGGAAAGTATATCTGATTCATGGTGTTGATGTTTATATGTTTGATGTTGACATTATGGGGGTTATTTTGACAGATGCTTGTAATTGACGGTTGTGAACATTTTTCTGTTCGATCCTTGAGTGTAAGTTTCTTATAGTAGAGATATCAGCAGATATACCTTAATGTGATGCTGTAGATTTCAGAAGATATCTCTTGATGTTCAGTGTCTTGTACTAAACAGGAGTGAGTGAATATGGTGTATCACAATATCACGGCGGGGAACACCAGAAATGGGCTTCACACTTGGTACCCATGTCGGGAACAGAACCTGAGCCTTTGGTATGACAAGCAAACGCTTTAACCACTAGGCTACCCCACTGACCTCTTGTGCTGAACAGCTAATGGGAATATATGACATATTATGAAATAATCAACACCTAACAATGTATTGATTTAGAGCTGATAATTTGTGGACATAGATATGTGATAAATGATACCATCAGAAGATATGCTTCTTGATAATATGTGTATCATTGTACAGATTATTGAGATGTTGATGCATTGGTATCACAAATTACTTATTTAACCTCATAAAATTCCACAGTTATTGAAAAGTCTGAATTTGCCAACAAAATCTAAATTAGGACTTTTGTTTGTTTGATGGGATGAGGGAAGTCTAGTGGTTAGTGTGTTTGCTCATCATATAGAAAAGATTGGGGTTTAATTCCTGGTACAGTGCAGTGATTGAAATTATTTCAGAGTGTCCTTATTGCTTAGATAGTATTAAGCAATAATCACTCACTCACTCCTTGTATAAGCCTGATGTTTGAAGTAGAGTGGGAGTGAGTTGGGTTTAACACCGCTTTTAACAGTATTACAGTTATATCGCTGCGTGTCGGCTTAATATGGCAGGAAAGCCTGAAGTAATACAGGTCTCAGGCGTTTACCACTTCGGTGAAACCCATGAGCACAGGTATGATGCTGACAAACCTAGAAACATAATCGGGGTGAACCAGGATTCGAACCCACAATGTTTGAAGTAGAAGATTTTAGGGTCACTTGACTCAAGTGTTACTGATTATGATCTATGGTTTACACAATGTAACAACAACATACTGTAAGTATGTGATATACAGTATATTACACATGGACGGATACCACTCTTACGATGTGACAAAGGATGCAGGGAGTAACTGGATATAAATAGTGATTAGTGACTGAGGGATGTCATTGTGTGTCTATTCATTAGCAGAGTTTCTGGTTGTTTTGAACAGATGTTTATACAACTTTTTATCATCTTCTTACACAATTCAAATGATAATGATTATCATGTAGTAAACGGTCCAGTGGTTCTTAAATACAGTCAGCTGTAACACAGGGATGTTATATTTTACTTCCAGTCCGGTAAGCTCAGCTATTTATAGTCCAATCTTAATAAAAATCTGACCGCCTCCATGGTCTTGTGGTAGAGCGTCCGCCCAGAGAGCGGAAGTTCCGGGTTTTGATCCCTGCCCGCGTCATACCAAAAGATGTTAAAAGATGGTATTTGTTGTTACTCTGTCTGGCGTTCTGCATTAAGGGGCTAAAACAAGGACTGGTCGGTTCGGAGTCAGTATACTGTGTCTGAGTGGGGTATTCATGTTAAACTGCGCCATGGTATCTCAGTGAGCTAGCACTATAAATCGGCATCAGTCCGGACTAAAACAAGCAGCCACACACACACACATGCATGCACGTCGCTATATAAGTGCAATAATCTTAATTATTGACTTAATTTTTTATGCAGGTTTTTATAAGTCGATTAATAGTAGTTCATCAAATATTGTTAGATTTTGTATTGAGTTTTGAACACAAGTAGCTCTGTTCTGGTCATGGATGACAGTTTCTATATTTACACTTGACATCTTACTGCAAGTACTGGATAAACTGCTACTGTCAGTAAATATACTGTATGTGCTTCAGTGAATGACAAAGGTAGCCCAGTGGAGCTGAGTTGCCTCCCTTTACTACCAGTATCCGCGAGTTTTTATCCAGATTCTGATCCATAGTTTTGCGGCATCATTTGATACTGAGGGAGTCATGGTGATTCTACATTCCTACAACCTCAGTCACAATGTTCTGCCACATTAGGCAGACATGCAGTGATGTCATTGAAATCGTAAAAAGCTTCTCGCCTAATTTGACAAGATTCTGAGCGAAATCCTCCTCCCACAATGCCCCTATGTTATGCAGTTGAATAACTGATGAATACTTTCCTCAAACCAGCTCATTCCCTTGAGTTGAGCTAATAATTGAAGGTGAAAACGAAGTGTTATTTTATTGCAGTGGAACAAGGAGAGGTTCTTGTTCCTTGAGGCAAGATAATCCCTGTAAATGATCAACCCTCTGGTCATGCACACATCAACAAAATGTCTACTTTCTTATATAATGTATGCAGACATTCAGCTGTTGCGTCATCTGTAAATGATGACGAACCTCATTGCTCCAAGGGACAGCATTTTAATCTTCAAACAGAATAAGTGCTGTAAAATAATCACAAATTTGAATGCAGTTTGACGCCCTTGGTTGCTGTAAGGCTCCATCGTGTGTGCGGGGGCAGCTGAGCGTGGAGTCATCCCACAGCTGACAACTTGATGTGGCAGCTTGCTTGCAGGGAGAAACCTCTTTAGTCAAGTTGACAAGGTGTTTGAGCAGTGACTGCATGGTTTGAATCCCAGCATGAGTTCGAAAATGTCATGATGGCTTCGTGTGCAAGCTGGGTCATGGTGTCCAACTCCCCCCTACCTCCTCCCTGTTCATTTATCCCAGGGGGACGAGAGGGAAGCAAGTGTGATTGAGTAGGCCAGACATTGTGATAGATCTACCAACTCACCCGTCTCACATCTGGTCCTGTTGGAGCGGCAGACGAAGATAACCATTCTCCTTGCGCAATTTGCGTGAAATATGGCGGCTTTCTCTCTGTAGTATTTATTTTATTGGCTAAAAATATGATAATTCCATTGTAAGTTTTGTGAATCTCTTTCCATGTCTGTTGCAGTATGGTTGCTATCTTGATAAATGGTTGCATATTTGGTTAGTTTGGTTTTTATGATGTCTCTGGTGCCGTTTCCTTGCTTAATTTTGTTAAATATGTTGGATATGTGTTTTTTGGCCAATTTTGTAAGAAAAAAACTTTCATTGTGATGTTGGTAGGCTGACTATACGAACCCATTCACCCACAAAGTATTGTTGCTGCAAGTGTTTTGTTGTGTGCGATGATCTGCCAAATTGCTTGGGTGGCAGTGATTGACTGTTGACATGTCTTACTTATGTGGGGAAAGAAATCCCTTCTATCAGGACTTCTGTCTCAAGGAAGTTCTGATTGGCTGTTTATGATAAAGGTTTTAAAAACCAAGATTTCCAATTACCTGACAAAGCTAGCACAACTGTGAAATAATGCTTGATTAATTGTTTCTGCAACCACTTTTTGTTGAGTAATGTGCATCTGTTTAACCGCTGTATCGGACATGTAGGGGATGTTTTGTTGTTCAATCAGATAGGATACTTTTTTAATTACTTCAATCACAGACTTATTCCTGTGGGACCCCATGCCTGAATGAAGAAATTTATAAAGGCTTTTAGAACAGTTGTGATCAATGATTATGTTTTATTGGTTTGGCAAGACATATTGCAAACTATCACAATTGACTTCACACCCTTTTTCTATTTTAGTGTTTAGTTCACTCGGAATAGATTGTTTGTTAGTTTACTGGAGAAAGGAACACAGGGCCCTGTCGTCCTACAGTTGCGTCCCTTGGCTATGCCAGGATCAAGTGCATATGTTTTCAAATGCCATATTCGCCCCAAATAATGATCTCTGGTAATATATTTTTTTTAAAAGCCACTTAAAACCTCACAACATAACAATGAATATTACAAATCTCTCATTAAAATAAAAATTCAAGATACAGACAAGGTCCCAGTCTCTGAAAT